TTTCAAACTGGGTCTTACTGCTCCCACTGCCCGCCCTGCGACAGCATTTGGTGACATAGCTTGGAGCTCTTCCCCCCAGCCCAACAACTGCGACACCTACAGAAATCATTGTTTCTTATGCATCTCAGGTTGACTTATTCCCTGTCATTCCTCCTCCAACATAACCATGGGACGCCATCAAATTCATCCATGTTCCATGATGATTTCAGAGGTCAGCTGGAATAATTACGAAAACATGCGGTATTATAAATTACAGAAGGATTCGCAAGGTCCACTTCCAAATGTGGACATGCTGAAGATACAATCAGCAGTGAACACACTGTAGGTCACTGGGACTTCAAATCCATTCCAGATGTTGGCTGAGGGGCAAAACTCAGTTGTGACTCAGCTTTATACAGGGCAGATACATCACCAGGAGCTAAATTCTCACCCTTTAAAAAAATCAGTGGGACTTCTGGCACTGACTTCAAGGGACCAGAAGTTCGGCCAAGGCGGGTAATGTACAAGTAAACATGCTGCACTCCTTGGTGGATTTATTGCTATTGTTGTTGGGTTTTGTATTAGTACTATTTCATTATTGCTATTACAGTAGGTCTTAACAAGACCTGAAATCGACTGAAAGACTAGAACGTAAGACTAAAATATGTGAGCAACAATTAAAACATTAACATGAAGCATAGGAAGTTCTGTCTGAACATCAGGAAGAACTTCTTCCCTCTGAGGGTGATGGAGCACTGGAACAGGCTGCCCAGGGAGGTTGTGGAGTCTCCTTCTCTGGAGATATTCAAGACCCGCCTGGACAAGGTCCTGTGCAGCCTGCTGTAGGTGACCCTGCTTCGGCAGGGGGGGTGGGCTCGATGACCCCCAGCGGTCCCCTCCCACCCTGACCATGCTGTGATTCTGTGCTGTGACAGTATTATGTTTTAATTTCCCTTTACAAATATGTATGTTTTGTTCTATATAGATGTGAGGAGAAGATGTGATTATTTTGTTGTTGCCAGCATTAAAATATTTTCCGTGTCATTAGGTAATGGTTTGTCTTTATATGGAGATAATATGATGTCCTGGCTCAAAGCTTGTGCTCGTGCAGTGCCAAATACAAGCATTTATTTCCTATGAGTAAGAGAATAAAGTTTGCTACAGAAAAAAAATTGGTGTCCTTAAAATAGCACTTGCGAACTGCGAGTTCTTGCTGCTCTGGATGCTGAAGATCTCGTAGTACGTTTACAACGGTAACGTTATAATGACAAGGCCATCTTCGTTTTGCCTAAAGCGATGACAGTGCTTGCAAGCGCTGCAAACCCATCAACACCGACAACACATCCAGTAGCTTCCATTTCTGGGAAAATGGCAGGAAATGTCTAAACAGGGTTTCAAAGCAGACCCAGAGGCAACGTCCGGGCTCCGTCCGTGCGACAGGAGCGCTCGGTGCAGCCCAAAAAGCGTCCCTCAGCCTGCCCGAGTGCCATCACCGCCGCCCCCAAGCTCCGGGGCAAGACTGAGCTTCTGTGCCTGCCGCGTTTGGCGGTCCCTTGCTGTCAAGAACACGACGGAAACGTGAAAGGCTTCTGT